ACGCCAGCTGCGCCAGCTGCTTAGTAAGAAACTCCCGGTCTGTCACTGATTAGTCTTTTTTTTTAGCTTCTTTGTTTTATTTCCCCCCTTTCTAAGTACTAAGTAAATTCTTTTACTTAGAATATTTCTCTAAAGTTTTCTGAATATATTTGCCCTATACCTTTTACGTATAGTTTTATTCAGGGTTTAATGAACAAACTCATATGCAACCTTTTACAGTGTGCAACTGATGCTTTAGGAAATGGAAGATGCGCAGGGTAGTTCCGCTGAAGTTGTTAGATCAGAAGGGTCAGGTGCAGAGCTACCCCCTGCATCCTCACAGGCAGGAGCACTCGGAGAGGCTGGGAATGGGCACCCAGCAGAGAATCTTCCAGAATCTGCAGGCACTGTACAGTCAGAGGAGGGCTGCCAGCAGCAGTCTTCTCAGGAGCAGTCGTGTTTAGCACCAGGGGAACAACCTGAGAAAGGACTGGGCAACCAAGAACCAGTTGAAAGTAACAACCAAGATGCATTTGAGCCAGGTGCCCCATTCAGCGCATCACCTGAGAGCCCATCTGTTAGCAGTGAGAATTACAGTGCTTCACCTGAAGTAAGAAATTCAGAAAAGGAAGAACAATCTTCTCAAAACTCAGTACTACCAGAGAATACAACAAGTGGGACAGTAACAGGTAAAGAAGTTATTAAAATTTTGGACATTTAAAGGGATTTTTTTTCTTCAACTTGATTATGGTTTCTTGCACCCCCACACACTCATTCTCTTTATGTTTGCTGGATTTGTGTCCTGAAATGACATGCTCCAAAGGTAAGGAATGTATTCTTTATCTCAAGCTGCAGTAGCAATTTAGAGATGGCATTTCATAGAATGAGCCTTATTTCCAGAAACGTATGAGAGTAAGTATGCGTGTTGTGTACATGCATTTAAACTAACAGTTTAGACTAGATCCTAGCAATCACCTTACTGTTCTACCTCTTACATTCCCCTGTAACTCAGCCTGCCACCCATCAGTTATCCATGCCTTTCCTCTGCAAACCCTCAAATGCTCCATCATTTGGTGCACCTGTTACTCCGTGTTCTGGGTGTCTTTTGTCACTTCCTTTTCCCAGTTCAGCACCCCATTTTCTTAGTTCTTCAGAGCAGAAGGCAGCACATTCTGTTC